ATAAAAAATAAATATGATCTGATATTTTGTTTATATAAACATCCTCACAATATATTACTGGAAATTTTAAAAATGAAACTATCATTTGGAACCCAATTTCTTATAATCCAGTGATCTCATTTAAATAAAGATATTAACATAATATTCATGGAGTCAGGACAAATTTAATGAAGTATTTTCATTTAAATTGGGTCATTGAATTTTGAGATATTAGATTTCAAAGTGGCAGATTCATTTTTAGGATTCTGATAATATATTGTAGGGGTGTGTATAGGCATTAAATGAGCCCATTTATATATTAATTGATATTGTATAGGAAATCATGAAATTTATCATCCGGGTGATGCGATACTTTCGAGCATCACTGTAACTACAATTCTTTAGTCAACTTAACTTTTGAATTTGGTATAGTATGCTTATGTTTGTTTATCGAGGCTTTTATGGCACTAACGTTAAATTTAAAAAGAATACTAACGGAGTTATCAAAAGTAACTAGTATCTCCTGAATAACAAGTGCAATCAACAATAGTGAAAATGGGAGGGATGATAATAATCACTTTCATTTACCCTCTCAGATTCATATAATTATGAGTACCAGGAAACAAAAATAGACGAGAAGTTCAAGTTGATATTGTTACTCTAGAACTACAGTAGAGATAATAAATAATTGCAATTATATTTTTTCATTAAAATAAATAAGTAATATTTTGTGGCAAATTCAGGGGGAAGATGGTTCCACTCTTTTATTAGTTTCCTCATTAATTAATCCATTAATTATATGAATTTTTTTAAGATTTAATTTCACACATTTCTATAGGATTTTTGATCAGAAACATCGATTATCAGGGTAGTCCTTGATATCTTTTTCCGCATTCCAATTCTTGAACAATGCTTAGGATCGACCATCTTCTTGTAAGAAATATTCTAAGTCGCCCTCACCAAAAAACCCGGAGATGGAGGGCGAAAGACTCTTATAGATTTCACACATAAAATTGACATTAAGGTTCTGTTGAAAGCACATCAACTCACCAAACCCCATACCTTTGATGGATACTTAAAAGTACAATCTCTCAACAAACTGCCAAACTTTTATTCTGATAGGAATACTTTCGTCCGTAAAAATAACCTGATTCTAATCAAATTTTGATATCTCTTCACCAATTGCAGCCATTTTTTCCGGTTCTTGATAAGAAGAGGTTTGTAATTTCGTTAGTATATTTTCTTCAGCTTCACGAAGACGTCATCTAACAGTTCTCATGACAATGTCAACATCCCGTTTATCCAAATTCCATTGTATTTGGATACTTGTTATACTATTTTCGTTATTTGTTTGTCTTGTGATACAATTTTTTTTGTTCAGCTAGATCTTTTGAAATTCCAATTTTTTGCAGTATTCTTAATACAACCAATATGAGTTGTTATTTTTCATAGCCATATTGCGGTCCTTGTGGATGTTCATGAAGAAAAATGATTTCATATCGCTTATATCGCTTATACATCTACATTTTTTGGACATAAAAGTTAATCGATCATCCAACTCCTGTAGAAGTTGTACTAACGCTACGCTAATAATTATTTTTGGATTTCGGAAATTTTTGAGGGATGTACTTGTAGAAGCATTCTTGTAAAACATATTTGAAACGCATTTTATTGAGGAAATACACTGTTATTGAAATATCTATTATATAATAAATTAAACGGTTATTACCGTTACTATACTGTGTTAACTAAATATAATGATACATGTATACACAAATACCGAATCCTCGTTAACTGTTAAAATATTTAATATTAAATTGTTTTTCACATAAATAATTTTTATAATAACGTTAAAACTCTTACACCGATTTATATTATTATTACATGTATATAATAAATAAATATTTTGTGATCTCAAACATGACCTGTAAAGTAGTTTTGTGCAGTTTTATAGACTTCGGGACCTAATTTCTTGCCGGCTTCAATTCCCTGTTATGATAGTTGTTAAGTATCAGTAAAGGTCTTCGAGTCTCAAAAATTAAAGTTACATGTAATTAATTACCTGTTGAGTATCATCCCTAATATGGACTCCAGCATAAAGTCGTGATTGACTAGACTCATCTGATAGATCTCTGTGTAGACAATTTTAATGCCTGTATAAATTAAGCTGCTCCGAAATGCAATATGTTAATCAACCATAGAACTTACGTGAATTGGGACCACGTAAGAGTTATATCTTCTTTTGGAGTGAAATTGTTTTCCGAGTTTAAACTCGAATTAAGTCTGCATTTCATAATGGTGCAGGATGCTCCAGATACAGTTTTATTATTATTATCGCAGAGCGGTTCATAAATTGATCCACCTTTCGGAGCAGTAAATCTAACAAAGGATAACCAAACAAGAATGTAAAACCAATTTAACGTGAGGATCTAAAAAATCTGACTTAAATGATATATATGCATACTGAAAAGGTCCTCCTGGGATGGTGTTTGATCCAGTGAAGAGACGCAGAACTTCAGCTGTAGCTCTGCTAAAGGTAGCATGCCCAGAAACATAACCTGGGAAAGGTGGCGTGATAAAATTCTTGGCTTGATACGGCTGCCACTGTTCGCCGCTAATATTACCATAACCACAATAGTGACCTAGGAATGCATTAGGAAGAGTGAGATTAGGGAGATATGTTGGAACGAAAGTGGATGCCCGTGCTGTGTCGTACAAGCGTTTCATCTAAAAAAGCAATTTATATCACGTCAGTTGATCTTAAATCATTAAGTGTGCTTGCGTTTATGAATGCTTACAGTCCAAGCAACAATGCCTGCATCGTAAACTGCGTTTGTAGTTGTAAACAATAACTTCACAGCATCATCCAAATTATAGCACTTTCGAATAATCACTTTTAGTGCAAACGATTGCCAAGTTCCTGGCTCTAAAAAACCATTTGGTCCATCGGCCCAGTATTCAACAATGATCTTCTTTGTGTCATTAATTTGAACCTCTGCAAGCTCTTTGTACTGTGCATCGAATGTTGTATAGTTTGGTGTTGGAGGCAACAGTGATTTGAGCGTCTCGGGTGAAATGAAAGGTTTGCCTCTAGATGTCTGTGGTTCGCTAAATGGACGTGGCGTAGGAACATCGCCATCACGAATTTCCTGTGACCAGTGGTACTTTTTTCTTTGAATCAAGCGGGAAGCATCAATTGTGCTGCTATTTGTTAGATCTGTTGGTGGATTGCTAAAAAAAAAGAACATTGATTAGCAAAACAAAGACAAGGAATTTACACAGCGCGTATTATATTCTTTGACAACATACGATGGTTTATATCCCGTAGTGTCAGCATAACATCCTGCTTGGTTAAAACCATCCACTTTTAACTGTGCAATAAGTCTTTCGGTAATCTTTTGGGCAAGCCTTGCGTCAGCTGAATTAAAGTCTGTATTGTAATGGGAGTTGAAAAACTGCATTGTGTTGTTGCGTTGCACGCCTTCGGGTAGAAGGTACTGAAGAACATAGAAAGCAGCGTAGGTGATCATTTGTTGTTTTCGCTCTTCTGTACCATTTAGTCTGCGGAAGGGATCGTGGCGATGAAATGTAGTAACAGCAGTTCGATCAAATTTAGACCTAGTTGTTTAAAATTAGGAAATTCTATTGAGTTGTGGCGAAATGATCGTATTGCGCAAATATTTATAGACTGGGTTGTGATTAAAACATGGCGAAAGCTTACCAAACATTATACATGCCTACAGCGACAGAGCGGTATGCTCTAGCAGCAGAAGGAACCTGAAAGATTCCTAAAAAGCGACGATGTATAACGAGAATTAGCTCAAATATTTAAACATGTAGGTTCATCATTCATCATTACTATTTACTGACCTTTTCCCTTATTAGCAAGTACACATGGTTCAGATGAGTTCCCGTTCTCTGCTTTCACTAATTCTAATGTGAACTGCATCAACTCACCCGCACGAGTGGTTGTACAAGCTCTCTGTGGTTGATTTGGTTGTTTAGCGTTAGGTTGATTAGTAGTCACATTATTAATGGGCTGTGATGCAGGTAAATAAGGGAATCCACCGGTGTATCCAGTGGGGGGAGAATCGCCAAAAATCGGTGAGCATAGAGTAACAAGAAGTAAGAAAAAGATGTGTTTCTTCATTATTTTCTGAAGGTAGATTAACATGGAGGACTATAGTTCCTTTTATAAGAAGGCAAAAACACCACAACCATTTAATGATGACGTCAAGAGAAACAGGAGTGGTGTATGCATTCAATAAATTACTGCAGACTATTATTTTAATAGTTCTGCAGCTTTAATTCACAATAGCTCATTCACAATAGCTCATTCAGCTTTAATCTTGTAGGACAAATCTTCGAACAGGAGTGGTGTAAGAATGCAGAAATTATTTTATCGTGTAATTTATAGCGAAAAATAAATCGTTTCTTCAAAGCATTAAATTATTTTTTTTCATTATATCCGTGAATTTGATAAAAAAATGATTTTTTGCTTTTGCCTATTTCTCACTACTTTCGTTTTTTGACAATTACACGGAAAATAGGATGTTTCATCTTGACTTGAAACATCTAAACCGTCGCAAAAGAAGATACATGTACTGTACATATAAACATTCATGTATGTTTAATTTTGGTATTTGGAATGTTAACAATTTCTTTGAATATTTTAAAATTGCTTGACGCAGCATGTGTATGGCGTTCAAACGCATTAAAACAAAAGTATCTATACCGAATTTAGGATTTCTTTATATATACGCAAATAGTATACGTATGTCCATGTTTGTGCATGTATGATTCTTATGCTTTAAAAATGGGATGTTAGTACGACTTCCCCTTAAAATGATCTTATTACATGTACATATATATGTATTGTACATGCATAACGAAAACATCGATACGTAATCTAGATTTTTTTTTTAGTTAGCATTAGTGTTCCAAATTAAATTTCAAGCATGGATTGTACTTTTCATACATGTATTTGTATTTGCTGGGCTGATAAAAAATTCGCGCGTTCTTATTGATTTGTGATATTTTATTAAACTTGATCCAGATGAATACGTGACGCGACACGTTTTGAATTCGACACATGAATTTACATATAAGTTGAAATCATATATTTTTATATCATCATTATTACATGTAATGCTAAGTTACGCGATGTACAGTAACCCCTTGTAAAAATCTAAATTATTTAAACCTCAATTTAATATTCACAATGTGATTTCTTAAAAACTTTAATTACTGATTTACTATCCTTGAGGTTAAAATTGAGATTTATTTTTAGGGTGGGGGGGGGTACTATAAACCGCGATTTACGGTAAAACCCTTTGCAATTTTCATAAATGTTTCGATGTATCTTATTATTTATGGTAAAAATAATATAAATAAACATGGTTCAATTGAAAAAGTTAAAAGACGGAATGATATTTAGCCAAGCAAAACATGATTTTGATAAAGACCATTTTCATCCTAAATTAACGCTTCAATGTAGAACTAAATCGACCTTCTTTATACTTATTCCTCTAATATCTTCGTTTTATTAAAATTGAAAATCTTTAAGAATAGCTATTACCGTAAAGTACCGAAAATAATAATCTCCCCCAAAATAAACAACCCCTCTGATTTGTCCAAAAATATGGGGATTAAGCATTTAAAAAATGCTCGAAAATAGGCAACCCCTCTAAAAATTCAGTCCCAAATTGATGACGTAGGGGTTGCTTATTTTCGGGACTTTCGGTAATCTGTTTCATAATTTCTTTTTTTTGTAGGTTAAAATAAGTACAAGCAAGTATCATTAAGAAATAGTAAAAGATCTTTTTTTAATTAATTTAACGACAGATTTTTATTTAGTGTTAATGATAAATAAAGAGACATTCGATGATATTTCAACCATCAATACGTTTATAAATGTTTATTTTGTTCTGCAAAGAATGCAAATTATAAAGAGAATTCTCTACCTATCTCTGATTTACAAAGACTAATTAATAGCTAAACATAAAAAATGTCAATCTATTCAGCATAGATATGGTGATTATGTATGGAATAGTTAAATAAATACATAATAGTAAGATTTCTTATAAAATAACAATTTCGAAACCTTTTAACAATATTTAATTATCATACTGATAATATTATTTTAAGATCAGCGACGAATAAAAAATATGCAATTAAATTGAATAGCACAAATTACAGTCAGACATCCCTAAACGCGGACCAACCTTTGACACCTTGCATTTAGAGAACAATAAGAAAAATTACATTTATGGAAAATGTGTGCTAGAGTTTGAGCTTGCCTTTAGGGAGATGTTGAATTAGTTGGTTTGACTGTATACATGTAATACTTTTATCTGTTTCTTGGCATTACGGTATAGAGCCCTAACTGTTTAACGTGAGATGGGAGAATGTGTCAATTTACATATCTTTTTTTACTAAATGTACAGTATGTCAACGGTTCTCAGTATTCTGTTTGATTTTTCAAAATACGAATTGTATGTGGTAATTGCAAATTTTCGAAAACTTGATATTAAATGCACAATATTTCTTTTTAAAAAATATTATTCAAACCACAAGTATAATTCAGAATGACAAGATTTACCAAACACGAATTTGAAGACAGCATTTTATCTTTGAATATTGAGATAAAATTCATATAAAGTATAATTCAGAAATCGTTTATTCTAAAAAGCTATTACCGTATTGGCGGAATATAAGCAACCTCCCCATATTGGTTTTTTTACCCTATTTTTTGAACCTTAAAAAAAATAGTGCCAAACTTTTAATCAGCTGCTTCGTTGAAAATTAATTTTAATTGGTTATCGAATGTACATGTACAAGTTATCGTTATCGTTATTATTAAAAAACGATAAAAAATTAAAAATTTAAGTTTTCGCGGACGGCCCAATTTAGGTTTATTTTTAATACTATTTGTTTCTTCATATTTTTTTTAAGTCTTGTGATGGTCGTATGGTGAATTTTATAACGCGTGGCGATGTTACGGGCGCTATATCCCTCTTGAAGCAACGTAATTATTTGGGAACGTTGCTCCATAGTAAGCTGCATTGTGTTTTAATAAAAAATGCATAAATATATTAAAATGAGTATGGGGGAAATTTTTTTATTATGTTAGTCTTTAAATTATTATAAAAAATGGTTTATTAATACTTACTTTGCTCTTTTCAAAAGAGCAAAAAAAACGTACCGGTATTCAGGAGAAAAAAAACGACTTACGAATAATTGGTATGATTAGAGTCTGTTCCATGTGTAGAGCTCATGTTCAATGTTGATTGGTGGGATCTATTTGTTTGTCGAAATCCAACATAAATCCTGGTACCCAAAATCCATGCCATGAATTCTTTTAATATCGATACTAAGTTTCTCGTTAACTCTTTAAAATTATAGTAAACCTTTATCGATAGCATCCATGCTTTATTACATAATACCTATATTGATGTAGAGCTGAATTTATGACGCTTAATGTACATGCACATGTATGTTTGGCATGCCGGCGCCGTTTAGTATGTTGAAATTTTGGAATTTGGGTGTCGAGATATAGTCAAATCGAATAAACCGAAAAAAACTAGATTATCAAGATTATTTAGTGATATGTAAACCTAGGTTTTATACACTATTTGGTTTGCGATGTGATTATTAATATATTATAACGAAATTTGACAATAAAAATAATTTCTGATAATTTAATACTTGTATTAGAATGCTTGATATTCTGCAAACTATAATGATCGTGTCAATTGTCCGTTCGCTTTGGTAGTGTTTTATCATTATGGCCTAATTTAATACTTTTTCTGTCGATTTTAATAAAAATTTCCCAAATAACACGCATATTTTCCGTTTCGTAATGGACGAAATTTTTTGAGTTTGTTCATTTTGAAAGACAAGAAAGTATTGAGCCAGATGAAACAATAAGTCAAAAAAATTCCAGTAAGCTTTATCGAAATCTGATATAAATTTTGTTAATGTAACAGTTCAACTGATTGGTTATATTTTATAAAAACGCTCATGGGAACGCAATGCAAAATGTGTCATCAGTTATATAATTAATTACTGGTGTTTCAACTCAAGTCATCTTAGAAAACATAGACTTGAAGCACCAATAAAAAAATAGTAATCTCAACATTCAAACAATCAAATCCTTTTAATTTATCTGAACATAATAAGCTTTAGTCACTAAATTGGTCAACACATGAAAAAGAATATCCAATATTAAATGCTATTGCTCGTGATCATCCATGTATACAAACAAGTGTTGTTTCTGAACGAGCTTGGGCAATACACTTACTCATACTAGAAATCTAGTTGTTTACCTGAAACTGCAAGAGCTATTCTTTGTGCTAAAAGTTGGATCGAAAATGGGATATTGGCGAAAATTTGGGTATTATTTTATTAGAATTTTGAAACTTTGTATTTCAACATCAATTAGATCTTTTTAAAAGCATTTATAGTTCAACGTTAATAAAATGAAATATGTATTTTAGTTAGTATGCGTAAATATATGTGATATCGTTGAATTTTAATCATGCAATATGAAACCGAAGTTAGTTACACAGAAACCGATTATACATGAACCGGTTGGGAACTAACGCTGAATGGTTTCTTATCCTTCCGTTAACGTTTCACTGTATATGTAATACCGATACGTAATTTTTCTAATATTAAAATGTCTGAAATTAACAACAAAAAATCATTGATTTCGACATCTTCGTCTTCACCTATTCCATTGTCAAATGATCATATTATAAATTCATCAAGGTTGAACGAAGCAAAAGAAATGGCGCTTTTCGAGATTAGCAATACAAAGAACAAGAGAAAACAATCTGAAGAAAATCTACAACAGGTTGAAAATACATGCAGTATACATGTAAATAATAGCAATGCGTCAAAAAAAAGACCCCGAACAAATTACGATGACGATATCAATGATCAAATGAATGTAAATTTACCATTCACTCCAGCAATGGATCTAAATATACATGTAAATGAAAACAATCCTAATTTACCCAAAGTAGCTAATTCGGATCAAGAAAAAAATAATTTAACAGCATATTCTATATTTAATGAAGTAAAGACCACAGCTGAAAATCATATCATGAACCAAAAATAAATTGAAATTTATCAAAAAGAAGAAGG